ATATATATATATATATATATATATATGTGTGTATATATATATATATATATAACAAAATTATGCATAAAAATAACGTCAGAATTTGTTGCTAATTTGTTGCTCACAAAATATGTTAGTCTTGATTTAATTACTCGCAAAATAATTATAAATAACAGCAGAAAACCTACATAGTCTGCCCTGTCCATTATAAGTTCCGTTGCCCAATCTTCAAAGAATTAGTTACTCGCATGAATTCGATTTTAGAATAATTCACAAGCATTATACTATTAAAATAAGTCGATTTTCGATTTTGTTGCTAACTGTAACATGTAGAAATTAAATAGTTTATCCCGGCCGACCGCGCCGCGCGCTTTAAGTTCCCTTGTCCCATCCTCTAACGTGTTAAAATTAAATAGTTTATCCGGGCCAACCGCGCCGCATGTTCTAAGTTCTTTTGCCCCATCTTTCCAGATTTTGTTGCTCGCATGAATTCGTTATAAAAATAATCTACAAGCACCGTATTATCGAAATAAGTTGATTTTCGATTTTGTTGCTAACCATAACATGTAAAAATTGAATAGTTTATCCGGGCCAACCGCGCCTCGCGCTCGTAAGTTCCCTTGCCCAATCCTCCCAGAATTTGTTGCTTGCATAAATTTGGTATACAAATAATCTGCAAGTATCGTACTATTGAAATATAACAATTTCCGATTTTGTTGCTAACTTTAATAAGTTGAAAATAAATAATTTATCCCGGCCGACCGCGTCTCGCGCTCTAAGTTCCGTTGCCCGATTCTCTCAGAATTTGTTGCTTGTATGAGTTTAGTATAAAAATAATCTGCAAGTATCGTACTATTGAAATATAAAAATTTTCGATTAAACATGTTAAAATGAGCAACATTCTGGATCGAGCAAGGAAACTTGTGCAAGCAACAAATTCTGAGAGGATCGGGCAACAGAACTTAGAGCGCGAGGTATGGTCGGTTGGGATAAATTATTTATTTTTGATTTATTAGAGTTAGCAACAAAATCGGAAATTGTTATATTTCAATAGTATGATACTTGCAGATTATTTATATATCAAATTTATGCGAGCAACAAATTCTGGGAGGATTGGGCAAGGGAAAGAGTGCGAGGCGCGGTTGGCCCGGATAAACTATTTAATTTTTACATGTTATAGTTAGCAACAAAATCGAAAATCGACTTATTTTGATAGTACGATGCTTGCAGATTATTTTTATAACGAATTCATACGAGCAACAAATTCTAGGAGGACTGGGCAAGGAAACTTATAGAGCGCAAGGCGCGGTTGGCCCGGATAAACTATTTAATTTTAACACGTTACAGTTAGCAATAAAATCGGAAATTGTTATATTTCAATAGTACGATGCTTGCAGATTATTTTTATACCGAATTCATGTGAGCAATAAATTTTGGAAGAATCAGGCAAGGGAACTTAGAGCGCGCGATACGGTCGGCGGGAGTAAACTATTGAATTGTTACATGTTACAGTTAGCAACAAAATCGAAAATTGACTTATTTTAATAGTATGATGCTTGTGGATTATTATAAGATCGAATTCATGCGAGCAACTAATTCTATGAAGATTGGGCAACAGAACTTATAATGGGCAGGGCATACTATGTAGGTTCTTTGCTGTTATTTATATTTATTTTGCGAGTAATTAAATCAAGACTAACATATTTTGTGAGCAACAAATTCTAACGTTATTTTTATATATAATTTTGTTGTTATATTGTTCTGCTAACTTAATCTTCTTTTAGCAGAACATTATTTAAAAAAAATTAATAGAACAAATTATTTTCTTTGGCAACTTTTTAGCAACAAATAAGCAACAAATAATTTGACTAGTTAGAATTGATTCTGCTCATTTTGTTCTGCTAACATATAAGACATATGGGGTGTTTAAAGTGTTATAAGCTATATAATTACATTTTTTTGACAAACAATTATGTATCTTTTTTACACCAATTGATTAATTTTATTATTCTATGCATATTTAGGTACGGTTAGAAAATAGAAGAATAATTTATTCAGCTTAGAAGAAAGGACTTGATTTATAGATTAGATAATTACACATATTCATGCATATCTTGTAAATAATAATAATTTTAAAAAATTAGCATCTAAAATAACGATCTTATTACACACATTTTCTTTCGTTATTCTATTGTTTATCTATTATAGCCTGTTGTTCCTATTATTCTAATTTCGCTTACCTTAATATCACATTAAAATTACATTTAAGGTATAGTTATAAAAAGCTGAAAATATAAAAATGATATGATTGTTTTTTGTACATAATGAGATTTCTTTAGTTATTTTGACTATAAAAGTATTAAACAGAGATATTAAAAAATCAATAGTTTACGAAATATTTTATATTTTATTTTGGCATATTTTGGTATTAATTAAAAAATATCTTAAAATATAGTAAAATATTTAATAGTATTCTATTGAATAGTTTACAAGATATTTTTTATTTAATATCAAAATATGCCAAAATAAAATATAAAATATTTTGTAAACTATTGATTTTTTAATATCTCTGTTTAATACTTTTATATGCAAAATAACTAGAGAAATCTCATTATATAACAAAAAATTATAATGTTAAAAAAAATGATAGTGACCTTCATGTAACTTGAAAAATCGATTTTTCCGAAAATTAATTTTATCATTATTTGTCTTCTCTTCAAACCATATATTTGTTTGCAACATTTTTGCTGCGACGCATACTTTTAGAGATAATATCTTATAACACTTTAAATATTTCATTCTGTGTATATCACAAATATGAAGAGTTTAATAAATACTTATGTATGATATATTTTTAGCTGTTACTCAGTGAAGGAAATATCGAAGCATTGCCTGATAAAGGGCGGAGAGTACAGGAATGTTTACGTCAGCATGAAGAAGAAATCAAGATGTTAACACGCGAATTGGAAAATACTTCTTTAATGTCACGTTGTAGTAGTAGTAGTAGTAGTTCTAGTAGTCAAAAAACCGGAGCACATTTGATGAAGGAAGAATCAGAGTCTTTCGAAGATGAGCCAGACTCGGATTATTCGGATAATGCATATTTGGATATGGACTCTATGCCAATGAGACCAACCATGTTTCCCGAATTAAAACTGGGCAAACAAGCACAAGCCACAAGGGATAAAGAACTTGCTTTAACAGTTGAACGATTACAAGATTTACACGGATCGCTCGTAGCTCGTCCATCAGAGAATGAAAAAGCAGAAGATCCAAGAGGATTAAAGGTACAATTAATGCCACATCAACAGCATGCTCTCGCATGGCTTTTGTGGAGGGAGCAACAAAGACCATCCGGTGGTGTTTTAGGTAAATATATTTAAGATATAACAATCTATAATATATTAATATATTAATATTAATTAATATTCAATTTTGTATTATTGAAAACATATTTTCTTATAGCCGACGATATGGGCTTAGGTAAAACACTGACAATGATAGCTTTGATTATGACTACTTTGGCTAAAAAAGATCTTGATGAAAGTGATGATTATCTTGAGAGGAAAGATGACGATGATGATGCCGAATGGATTAACAAGAGTAAACCTTCATGTAAGTTTTACAGAACTTCATAAATATTTGTATGTATAGAAACAAATTCCTGTGTTTTTTAAATACAGATTTTGTTTCTAAAATATTTGCTTTCTTTTTTAAGTCAATTAAAAATTGTTATATCTATTATTAAGGGTCCATTCTACCTTGTGGCCCGAAAAAGAAGGCAATCTTTGGTAATTTTTTCGCGAAAAGTAATCAAGATCACTTTATTGTTTTTACATCTTATTTGTTATACATTTCTCTTTAATTTGTCATTTTTTGAAATCAATTTGTTGACTGTAAGTCTATGCAAAGTTTCGATGAAGAAGCCTTTCCGACTTGAACATGGTGCCATGGTGGAAGTACTGCAGGTTGCACCAGTCATCTAAAACAGTTAAACCAACGATTTTCCTGTTCAAAAAGAATGTATAGAATAGATTACGATAATTGATCTTGCATGAAAATTAACAAAATGGCGGCCATTTGAAAAAAAAGTTCGATTTTTGGCCTTAAATTTTGCTCTTTTTTTTTGCGATAAAAAAAAGTATTATTGATATTGATACAATCGTAGTCTATTCTATAGAGACATTCTTTTTGAACAGGAAAATCGTAGATTTAACTGTTTCAGATGACTGATACGACCTATAGTGCTTCCCCCATGGCGCCATGTTCAAGCCGGAAAAGCTTCTTTACCGAAACATTGCATGGACTTACAGTCAACAAATTGATTTTAAAACATTATAAATTAAAGAGAAATGTACAAATAAAATGTAAAAACAATGAAATGTGATCTTAATCACATTTTTCTCTTTTTCAAGCCACAAGGTAGAATGGACCCTTAATTATAATAATTTGACCTAGATCAGGGTTGTCATAAAACTGGAAATCAGGGAAAAATCAGGGAATTTTACAAATTTTCTGGAAAATTAAAGTTCTTAGCTTTAAAGAAGTTTAATATGCGTATATTACACACTTATACAGTTTTGTTAGCTAATGTAAACTTTTTTAAATAGAGGTTTAAAATGCTTCACCAAGAGCATTAGAATTTTCAACTTGTCTACTTTTTGTTAGAATTTTAAATTTATTTAAAACTTTTTTTTAACTTGTAAGTATCTTGTGTCACTTGTGAAAAAATTAATAAAATTAAATTAACTTCATATTTTTGTAATTCTTGTTTCGAGTTTGTAAATCTTTGTATAATAGCAGTCGAAGATTCCAATAAGCAGGATTTAGTTTTTATCAAAAAGAATCTATATTTTTACATGTTTCTTGTATTGTAAGCAGAGGAAAAGAAATGTATGCATATATATAAAAAAAGATAAAAGAATACCAACAACTTAACAATTAAGTGCAAGCAATGTCAACAACAGTAGTAGTAATTTATATTGCTATGTTAAATTGCTCTTAACAAAATGTTTAACGATTTCCAAATAGTTTTCAAATTAAATGAACATAAAAAAATTTTTAATATTATTGAAAGTCAGGGAAAATCCTGAAATTTTGTCTGAAAGTCAGGGAAGTCATGGAATTTTAGAATAAAGAATTTGTGGCAACTCTGTAGATGTATTTAATATAATAAATTTATTGAAATAATTATGTTAAATATATTACGACTACAGATCCCAAAGGTGGTACTTTGGTGGTATGTCCCGCGTCTTTATTGTCGCAGTGGGAAAATGAAGTGCTGAACAGATGCAAACGCGGTCTTCTGTCTGTAGTAGTACATCACGGCAGCAATCGACAGAGTGTTCCCAAAAAATTGGCAAAAAACGACATAGTCATCACGACGTACAATATATTATCTCGAGAACATAAAACAAATTCTACATTATATAAGGTATACATTAAAGATTGTAGATTTGATCAATGAGTAAACTAGAATCTTAATTTTATTAATATTTCTAATATCTTTGCAGATCAATTGGAAAAGAGTAATTCTCGATGAAGCTCATATAGTAAGAAACCACAAAAGTCAAGCGTCTGAAGCAGTTTGTGCGCTCTTAGCAAGCAAACGATGGGCTCTTACTGGCACGCCTATACAAAATAAGGAACTGGACTTATACTCCATTCTGAAGTTTCTTAAATGTTCGCCATTTGATGATCTTCGCGTTTGGAAACGATGGGTAGACAATAAGAACGCTGCGGGTCATCAAAGATTGGCTACGGTCATGAAGACGATAATGTTGCGAAGAACTAAACAAGAATTAATGGCAAAAGGCGAAATGGAAAGTTTACCCGATAAGTTTATTGAGGAGGTGAAAGTGGAACTCGACCGTCAAGAAAAATTGGTATACGAAAAAATTTTAGTTTATTCCCGTACTTTGTTTGCACAATTTTTAGCTCAACGCGCAGAGAAACAACACATGTTTGATTTGTACGGTGGGAAGTATGATAAGCCTGCCTTTCTCTCAAATCCATGTAAGAAATATTTGATTAAAATGATATACTGTATCTTACGTATTTCTAAATGTATCAATATTTATTTTAATTCAACAATTCTCTTTTTTTTTTTTTAAGACAAAAAGACTCAGTTTAACAAAGCACAAAATAAATTACTGTCATTGCACGCCGACGTTAAAACACATGAGATTTTGGTGCTCCTGTTACGATTACGTCAAGTTTGTTGCCATCCAGCATTAATCCATGCAATGCTGGACCAGGAAGATGTGAAGCAAAGCGGTATAATGGAGATGGAAAACGTAGATGCTGATTTATTATCTCAATTGCATAACATATCGCTCAATGCAATTGAGAATGCCGACGAGGAAGAAGATATCGGTATTGATAAAAACGTAATTGGGAATTTACTCACCTCCGAGAATCCAGTGTTTGATGATGATCGCATTAGCTCTAAGGTAAATTGCAATTATATAATCCGAAAGGTTTTATTTTATGTGATTAATGCAATATATTGTGATTTAGATGAAGATGCTCCTTGATATGGTTAAAGAAATTTTACAAAAAGGAGATGATAAATTAATCATCGTTTCTCAATGGGCTAAGCTGCTGGACATCATTGCCTCACATCTGTCCTCAATAGACGGTGCTACATTTAAGCTATTTACAGGAAGTGTCGCTATCAAAGATCGACAGGTATGAATTGTGGATATCAATATTTTGTAATTTTTATTGTACTCTAGATTAAAAAATTAATGCTTTTTTTTTACAGGGTATAATGGACTCTTTTAACAGTCAAAATTCCGGTCCGAGAATTTTGTTACTGTCACTTACAGCTGGCGGAGTGGGATTAAACTTGGTTGGCGGCAATCATTTGCTGTTATTTGACATCCATTGGAACCCACAATTAGAGACGCAGGCACAAGATAGGATTTACCGTTTTGGTCAAACAAAGGATGTTTATATTTACAAGTAAGTACACCATACTTTATTTCCATGCGCGTATGTTCTTCATAATGTTCATTTTAATATCTACGTTTCAATTTCAGATTTATTTGCGTTGATACAATTGAAGAGCGTATTAAAGCATTGCAAGAACGTAAACTTGAAATAGCGACGAACGTGTTGAGCGGTGCCAAGAGCAACGCTGCTACAAAGCTTACTCTGAACGACCTCAAATCTCTATTTGGCTTCTAATTTATTTCGTCTTGTAAGAGAACAAAAGGATGATAGTTTTAAGTTGTAAAAAATGTTTTACTTAATGATAATTATATAGAATTTTAAGCATAAAAGTGTAAAGTATCTTCTACATTAAATACTATTTTTTAAATAGATTTAGTTTAACAATACATATCTCATTAAATTAATGAATAAAAAAAATACAAAGAGAATACAAAAGTTTGTTTTTTTAAGTATATTTTTACTTTATATGAATAGTAACGATTTAAAAAATGTCTGAAATAACATTAAAAATATCTAGCAAAACGAGTGTCCGAATTATTTTCAGGATACCTTATACAGAACACGTTTAAAATTGGAAAACATCATACGTCTTTATAACATGTAAATACTCCTTATATTTAGATTATTTGAATTGGTGGCAGATTGATGGCAAATGCCAAGCAGTTTTGCTATTGCAAACAATTCGTAAATATGCAACGTGTGTATCTTGCAGTAAACAGATCTGTCCTGGAGTTGTCAATCTGTTGTCGTATGCTATTATCAGATCTGATCTGTTGTCATCAATTTGACTGCGAAATATGTTCCTCAGACTTGGTGCACACTGGAAATCAACTAATAACATATAGTAGACCTTGGCTTTAGCATTATCATTCTCTGGCAATTTGTTTTCCATTTGGCAACATCGTGCACAAAATTTTTGCTGGATCGATATCTCAAACAGCTAAGTCTGTTAAAAACAGATTCTGTAAAAATCTGCTATAAATTTGGTCTGAAAGAGATTACAGATATGATACTGGATTGACACACAATATATACTTACAATGCTATAGGCAAAATGCTGATATACCCAGATGGCAATATTCCAGCAGATTTTTTGACAGATTGACAGCAGATCAATTCGGTTCGATTCTTATTGTAGATAGCAATCTGTGTCTGCATTAGGATCACATGCTAAATTAGCAAACTGACGACAGAAACCGAGCAAGATCTGTGCAGGCGGATACTATTGCGGTATAGCATGTCAACAGATTTTGTCACATTTCTGACAGCAGTTTGCCGACATTGACAGACATTATAGATTTTGAGTGTAATTTGTTGTCTTTCTATCTTCAGAAATTGGTAGCATGTTCTGCTCAAAATTTATCTTTGTAGGATATATACTTATTATTTGAATATGTGATATAGTAACCCAGATTTATCAAAAGCATATATTGTAAATGTGTGTTGCATATATATTATTAGTAGAAATGTAGCAACAGCCGAGCACAATCTACTGTTTCTGTGACATTGTTAGAAATATAGAAAACTAGTAGGTTCTGCATTATAATATCATATTAGCAAGACGTGCTTTATTTCTACTGTATTTCTATTCTTACGTTATGGTTGGTAAATTGTAATGGCAGATACCACCGACGAGATACTCTTAAAAATCGCCCTGGACAAATTTTCATGCCAGCAAATGGGCCCGGTGGGCCTGGAGATAATTGCAAAGTGTTGATGTTATCGTCTTTTGACATAAATTTGCGATTTATTTAAATAATTATTAAGATCATGATTTTTATTATGTAAATGCTTTATAAATAAGTATGAATACTTATAATGCTATAATATATATATTGCCGCAAAATTACATTTTTTTCCAACTTTTACCATCTCTTTGGAATTTGGATAATCAAACGCAGATGGTAACTATAAAAATGCAGTTTTAAATAAAATTAACTATTAGATTCGACTTAGATAATTGCAGATGGAGGTGCATTTCTATTAAATGTAGAGTCCCTAATTAAATGAAATTAACTATAGTCAGGAAATTAACTGAGTACTAGCGTTTTCGATTTGTTGACTCGATCTGACTAGAGTCCTAGATTATCAGAGAAGCGCGACCGGTATTACGAGTCCTGATTGGACACGCAAACGGCCAATCATAAGATTGATTTATCGATATTAAAAATGGCTGCCGAATAAATCAAA